AGGATGCTTGTAGGGATCCACAGGGATCCTCTAGGATGCTTGTAGGGATCCACAGGGATCCTCTAGGATGCTTGTAGGGATCCACAGGGATCCTCTAGGATGCTTGTAGGGATCCACAGGGATCCTCTAGGATGCTTGTAGGGATCCACAGGGATCCTCTAGGATGCTTGTAGGGATCCTCTAGGATGCTTGTAGGGATCCACAGGGATCCTCTAGGATGCTTGTAGGGATCCACAGGGATCCTCTAGGATGCTTGTAGGGATCCACTGTAGGGATCCACAGGGAGTCTATAGGGAGTCCCCTGGAGGGATCCACAGGGATTCTATAGAGTCCCTGGAGGGATCCACAAGGATTCTATAGAGTCCCTGGAGGGATCCACAGGGATTCTATAGAGTCCCTGGAGGGATCCACAGGGAGTCTATAGAGTCCCTGGAGGGATCCACAGGGATTCTATAGAGTCCCTGGAGGGATCCACAGGGATTCTATAGAGTCCCTGGAGGGAGTCTATAGAGTCCCTGGAGGGATCCACAGGGATTCTATAGAGTCCCTGGAGGGATCCACAGGGATTCTATAGAGTCCCTGGAGGGATCCACAGGGATTCTATAGAGTCCCTGGAGGGATCCACAGGGATTCTATAGAGTCCCTGGAGGGATCCACAGGGATTCTATAGAGTCCCTGGAGGGATCCACAGGGGTAGAGTCCCTGGAGGGATCCACAGGGATTCTGTAGAGTCCCTGGAGGGATCCACAGGGATTCTATAGAGTCCCTGGAGGGATCCACAGGGATTCTATAGAGTCCCTGGAGGGACAGGGATTCTATAGAGTCCCTGGAGGGATCCACAGGGATTCTATAGAGTCCCTGGAGGGATCCACAGGGATTCTATAGAGTCCCTGGAGGGATCTATAGAGTCAGGGATCCACAGGGATCTATAGAGTCCCTGGAGGGATCCACAGGGATTCTATAGAGTCCCTGGAGGGACCCACAGGGATTCTATAGAGTCCCTGGAGGGATCCACAGGGATTCTATAGAGTCCCTGGAGGGATCCACAGGGATTCTATAGAGTCCCTGGAGGGATCCACAGGGATTCTATAGAGTCCCTGGAGGGATCCAAAGACTCCTAGAGGGTCCCGAACGGATTCCGATGGGAATCCGTAGGGAGCTTGTAGGATTCATACAGAATTCATACAGAATTCATACAGAATTCGTTGTGTTGTGTTGTGTTGTGTTGTTCCCCCCCCCCCCCCCCTTCCGACTCACCGGGGGGGCGGGACCGGCCTCCTCCACTGTGGCGGACGCGGGAAGTGAAGCCCCGGACCCCGGGGGGACCATGCCGGCCTGTACCTTGTTGTTGTTGTTGTTGGAGCGGGCCTCTGTTCTGAGGTAAGGTCTTGGTGGGCATGTAGGAATACCAAGACGGTCGGTCCCTGCTCAACGGGGGTACGACGGGTCCGTGGCGAGGAGGGAGGGAGGGAGGGAGGGAGGGAGGGGGTGGGGCGGGGCTCTTCGCGGGTCGGAGTTTGACTGCAGGGTCCTCGTGGCGCTCAGGAAGCTCAGGGTTCTGTGCGCTTGCGCTCAGGCCGCCGTCGCGCTTGCAGGGCGGTGGGAGCTTGACGAGGCTGGCCCCTTCTCCGAGCCTTCCCAGAGGCGGTGGGGGCCGTGCCCTGTGGAGGATGTCGCAGCGCCACCTTTGCGCCTGGGGCATCCCGGGCTGCGTCCCCCCAGTGGAACACATCGCCTGTTCCATGCATGGGGCGCAGAAGGGCATACTACAGCGCCGGTTGTAGTACATGCTCCGCGTGCGGATCATATATTACAAATAAAGAATTTTGTACTGAATGCAACGATGAGTTCATGCGTACATGTAGTCATGAATTAAACATTTATTACAATCCTATATTCAAAAATCCTATGTATTAACAACTTGCCCGGTAGTACTATGTGTCCTCCTCGGAGGCGTGCGCCCGACTCGAACCCATAGCACAAGCATCCTGCAATACATATATATATATATATATCGTTTCCCGAGCGGTATGGCCAGAAAGCGCCCGCCGCGGGGCTTAATGGTATCTGCAAGATTGCTCTGCGCGCGCGTCGCCCGCGTGGGGGGGGGGGGGCCGACGCACACGTAGTATTGGTATGTTGGGGTGGTGCCAAATTCACTCTCTTGCCAGGTTTCGCGCAGCCCTCAGAGCGCACGCGTCTCTTGGTAACAGCCCCGCTTCCAGTGCGTGTTCTGCCCCCCAGGGGGTGGGCACAGACACCTTGGCTTTTTTGACCAACCATCCCTCTCACGTGCCTGGGCCGTTGTTGCGCCACCCTGCGGGCGGATCATTCGATACCTGGCATCTGTAATCCACTATGCGGTGCAACTCATTTGGACCTTTTGAAAATGCGACGAAGACAAGGCGGTGCCAGATCATAGGTGGGAAGGGAGGAGGATGTGGAGCAGGAGGAGAAGGAGGATTTGGAAGCCGAGATGGAGGAGGAGTATGGCAACGGCGCCGGGTCAGGATGCGCGAGGAGGGAGCGATCTGATATTGCCAGATGATGAGGAGGAGGAACGAAGAGGAACAGTAACGATGGAGACACCGATCCCATCCCTCTTCCCCCTCCCTCCTCCACTTCCTTCTACCGTTCCCCTACCTATCCCCCTCCCCATCCCGCTCTATCACTCCCCATGTTCAGGAAAAAAAGCCTACGGCGAATCACCGCCGCCCACTGCCTTTTGGAATCGCCCATGTGGCCGAACGTTGTGGCCGGAGCTCTGCCAAGCTATCGGACCATGTGTTCCCCCAGCCGTTGTGGAAACAATTCGGGGAACGCTCGGGGGAGAAAGAAGAAGCGGAGGAGAACGAGACAAATTAGAGAGGAGGAGGAGGAGAACGAGGAGGCGTCGGAGGCGGAAGAGAAAGAGGAGGAGGAGGAGGAAGAGGAGGAGGAGTAGACCTCTTAGGAGCCTCTGGGGGCACTCTTGGGTTCTCCTGGGAGCTTCTGGGCCGTCGGAAGGCTAAACAGAAGCGCATGCCAAAATCTGGCAAAAACCTATTCGGCTGGGAGGCCTCTTGGGGGCCTCTGAAGCCGCCTCGGAGGCTTCTTGGGCGAACTTAAAAGCATCTTGGACTCTCTTGGGCCGTCTTGAAGGCCATCTTGGACCATCTTGGGCGAACTTGGAGATCATCTTGGCCGTCTTGGAGGCCATCTTGGAGCCATTTTGGGCAGGACAAACCTTGGCAACCAGGCCTTCGGGTGACAGCGCGTTGTGCCGAAGCCCCCGGGTGACCAGCGCGTTGTGCCGAAGAACCAAGAACCTTCCAGATACCCAGCACGCCGGGCGCCCCTGTGGCAAGACCAACAGGGGGCGGCGGATGACGGAAAGCGCGCATGGCGTGCGATCCGTCAGTCGGGAGAGATTTCATTGGAGGTAGTTCGAGGGGGGAAGCAGCTAGACCCCCAGATTTGATGGCAAAAGTTTCCTTCCGAAAGGCCTCCAGTGACCGCAAGACAGCCCAAGACAGTTCAAGATGGCTTCCAAGACGGCTCCAGAGAGATCAAGAAGCCTCCAACTTCGACCAAGATGCCTCCAAGATAGCCCAAGAGGCCTCCAAGACCATCCAACCGGCCTCCAAGACGCCCCCACAGGCCTCCCAACAGGGCCCAAAGATGCAACAATCATTCATTGGTTTGTGGCTTTGAAGGCTTTGGGGTTTCTCGCATTTTCGGCTTTCCTACGCTCCATGACTGCCCAAGAGGCCCCTAAGATCGCCCCAAGACGGCCCAAGAAGCCCCCAAGACGGCCCCCAAGCGGCCCCGAGCGGCCCCCAAGCTCATCCCCAGGCGCATCGGCGTTGGCTCGGGTAGCATCGAGGGCGTGTGCATCGAGCCCGAGTCCCTCCGCCCTGGCGCGCGAACGAAATCCGAAGGCCGAGAAATCATCGCTTATGGCCATTCGGGGGTACTTGCTGCCCCAACGCATCGGCTGGTCGACGGCCTCGCGGCGAGCGTCAGGCACCCTGGTTGCCTGCACCGCATCGGGCACAGAGAGATGCCCCCTCCACTGTGCGCACAATTCCGCTGATGGCCACCGAACACCAAGGATAGGGAGGCGGAGGGGAAGGAGAGGGAGGATGAGGAAGAGGAGAAGGAAGAAAAGGAAGATGATCGAGCAGGGGACGGAGGAGGAGGAGGAGGAGGAGGAGGAGGAGGAGGAGGAGGAGGAGGAGGAGGAGGAGGGAGGAGGAGGAGGAGGAGTAAGGGGGGAGGGGGGAGGGGAAGCAGGAGGAGCGAAGGGGAGGAGGAGGAAATCAGGAGGAGGAGGAGGAGAGGAGGGAGGAGCAGGAGGAGGAGGAGGCGGAAGCGGAGGAGTAGGAGGACGAGGAGGAGGAGGAGGAGAAGGAGGAGGAGCGAGAAGCGAGGAGGAGGAGTAGGCGGTGGAGGAGGAGGAGGCGGAGGAGGAGGAGGAGGAGGAGGAGGAGGCGGAAGAGGAGGGGTAGGATGAGGAGGAGGAGCGAGAAGCGAGAAGGAGGAGGAGGCGGAGGAGGAGGAGGAGGGAGGAGGAGGTGGAGAGGAAGGAAGAGGAGGAATGAGTGGCACGCCAGCGACCCTGTGTGCTCTGAAAGTAAATGCGCTTTCCGTCCCCGTGCTGAGTAGGTGATGGAAAGCTCGAGGTACAAGTGATGCACGTTATGTTGTGGGGCGAAGCCCTTAAGGGAGGGGCTCCAGGGGAGGGACGAGGCGCGCGCGGATGAGTTGAAATGGCCAGCTTGCCTTGTACTGTTTCAAATGAAGCGGCTCCAGGGCGGCTCCCATGGCCCGTTTCCTCATGTTTTCAATTGAAGCGGTGGAAGGGCCCCAAGATGGCCCAAGAGGGCTTTCCGTAGCCATTTCAAGGCTTTTTCGGTTCGAGCCGCACGTCCATCAGGGTCTGCCACCCGCTGCGACATGAACGACGCATCCGCCGTGGCATCGCCGAGCGGCCTCAAAGACGCGCTCCTGGACTGCAGGCCGCCCTGGACCGGCAGCATCACCCTCGACGAGCGCCCCGCGTCGGACCCCTCCGACGACCGCACCTGCACCACCTCGACCTCGGGGCGGCCGTCCTCCGCCTCCACCTCGGAGGGGCCCAGCGGCTCCGAGGACCACGGGCCCGGAGAGCGCCGCCCACTGGGAGCGCCGCCCAGTGGGGAGCGCAGCTCGGAAAAGGAGGAGGAGGAGGAGGAGGAGGAGGAGGAGGAGGAGGAGGAGGAGGAGGGGGAGGGGGAGGGGGAGGAGGAGGAGGAGGAGGAGGAGGAGGAGGAGGAGGAGGAGGAGGAGGAGGAGGAGGAGGAGGAGGAGGAGGAGGAGGAGGAGGAGGAGGAGGAGGAGGAGGAGCTCGCGCAGCGGGTCGAGGACCGCAGCGCGGAGAAGGCCAGGACTCAGCGGCGCCGCGTGCTGCGGAAGCGCATGAAGCACATGAAGGCCACTCTGAGGGCCAACGAGGCGAAGCTTGCGGACCCCAGCGACGTGCCCCCGGGAGCGCCCGCCGCTTCCAGCAGCTCGAGCAGCGCGCCGGGTGGCATCTCCACGAAGATTTCTCTGTGATTGCCCTGTGGGGCCGCTGGCCAGACTCAGACGCTGCAAACGCCAGACAGGGAGACGCAGCACATCGAGTTCTGCATGGTGAAGTTGTGATGCCCCTCCTTCCTCTCCCTCCCCCCTCCTTCCTGCCTCCCCCCCTTCCGCTCCGTCTCCGAGTTGAGAGCGCATGGTTTTTTTCGAGTGTCCCAAATCTGTCCATGTGTTCACGCACCCAGACCCTGCGCAGGGCCGAGCAGCCGACAGGTTTGCTGGAGTGTCGTGCCGCTCCGATCCCTTGGAGTGGTTTGTACCCATACAGACTGCGGCCGCGTCGCGCCGCGACTCGACGCGGCGGCAGAGCTGGAGCTCCCTCAGGAGCCTCTGCTACCGTGAAGGCGTTGAGGAGGAGGAGGAGGAGGTGGCGGAGGCGGGGAGGAGGCGGAACCCCACCCAGAAGAGGATTCTGAAACTGCATCAGTTTCTTGTTACGGCTGTGTCTGCGACGGGCATGCCCGCATTCTTCTGCAATGCATGCGGCGCCATCGCCTCGAGTCGAGCGGCTCTTCTCAAGGACCCCGTGTGTCACCCAGCATTGAGTGCTGAACTGGTGAAGTTGCGCCGTGGGCTGTTGCCAGGGGGATCGGGCAAGGTGGAGCTCGACCAGCCGTGGCACCCGTGGTCCCCGCGACCCGCAGGTGTCTCATCTTCCTCCTGCCCCCCCTCCCAAGTAGTGCGACGCCTGGCCGACCTGACGGCCAACACGCGCCGGCTGTCTTGGCAGAGGATAGGTAGGGAGCTGTCTTTGCAGGGTTTGGGGTGGGCCCCCTTCCTTGTCCAATAGATCTCAAAATCTTTGGTGGAGGAGGCGGTGGAGGAGGTGGAGGGGGGAGGGTGTACGCATGACCCACAAACGAGAGTTTCGCGCGGCTGGCGGATCGCCAGAGACGGCCTCACGGTGAGGATCGTTAGCCTTTTTGGTTCTCGATGGGCGGTGGCGCTGGTGGGTGCGAGGAGAAGTCGGAGGGGGGAGTCGGGCTCTGGGCGTGCGGCCGCCGCCCGGGAGCATCCCGCGAGCGGCGGCGGGGCGCCCTGTTGCTTGCAGAGGGCTCGTGCGTGCAGGCCCGGCCGCCCACGGAGCTGTTCGAACGCTGCGTGTCTCAACCACCGCGCTGTGGAATGGCGCAGCTCTGTGGGCGCACCCATCTCGTCTCGTGCGTGGCAGTGAGTGCCCTCGCTCCAGCGGGCACGCGAGGCAACGCTGATCAGCGATGGCAGACCTCCTTTGAATAGCGTGAGTTGGCTAGCATACATTTTGTCCCATACTACGACCGTCCTTTGGACTTTTTCCGCGCGTGCGCACGATCAGGTGGTAGTAGATGGTTACGCAAGTGTAGATATTTTGTCTTGAAATGACATGGTGCTTGTCAGCGGCTATCGCTATGGCTTCGTGGCACCCGCTGGCTTTGTGGAAGGAAAAAAAGAATAGCACAAGAGGGCCCCTCAACGACCCAAGAGGGCACCAAGACGGCCCCAAGAGAGCTTCAGATGGCCTTCCAGACATCCCAAGAGAGCCTCAAGACGTCTCCAGAGGCCCTCTGGAGGGCCCCCGAGAGGGCCCCAGGGGCCAAAAACATTGATTTTCTTTGGTGTTTGCAGGTTTCTGGGGTTCTTGATTTTTCTGGCCCAGAACGGTCCCAAACGGCCCAAGAGGTTCCGATCGCCCCAAGACGGCCCAAGAGGCCCCCGAAAGGGCCCGACAACGGTCCCAGGGGGCCCAAAGACGGCCCCAGAGGGGCCCCAGAGGGACCCACGACGGCCCAAGAGGACCCCAAGGCAGCCCCAAGCGAACCCCTCGAGTGTCCAAAATGGCTCACAAGATGGCCCCAAGAGGCCCCACAGAGAGCACCCAGACGGCCAAAGGCTTCCAAGACGCCCCAAGACGGCCCAAAAGGAGCCCAAGGCGGCCCAAAATTGGCCCACAAGGGCTTCACAAGAGCTCCACACGGGCCCCCAGAAGACCCCGACGAGGCCCAAGAGACGCTCAAGAACACCAAGGCTCCCATGAGCGAGCGGTGGCGTAACAAGCTCTTGGTACCAAGGCCCCTTAGCGCGCGGTGACGGGAAGAGCTCGTTACACCAAGGTTCCCAAGAGCGAGCGGCAACGTAACAGTCTCTGAACCACCCCATGGCTCCCAACGGAGAGCGGCGACGTAACAAGCTCTTCGCACCAAGGCTCCCTAGAGCGAAGGGTGCCATGAGCCATCTCAGGCCAGTTCCTGAGGCGCTCTTTCCGTCTCCGTGCCCCCCAGATAACGGAAAGAGCGAAGTATGAGTGATGACGTTCTAATGTGGGGCGAAGCCCTCTAGGGAGGGGTTCCAGGGGAGGTTCCGGGGGGGGATTTCTGGTTGGTAATAATGGCCGCCCGGGGGCAATTTCCTTTTTGTATTTTTCGAGTGAAGCGGCTCGCGGGCGCCTTCCACGGCCCTGTTCCTTGTATTGTTTGAACTGAAGCGGCTCAAGGGCCCCAAGACGGACCAAGAGAGCTCCAGATGGCCCCCGGAAGGCCCCCCAAGGGCCAAAAACATGGATGTCCTTTGGGGTTCTTGTTTTTCCTTACCCAGAACGGTCCCAAACGGCCCACGAGGCTCCAAAGATCGTCCCAAGACGGCCCAAGAGGCCCCCGAAACGGCCCGACAGCAGTCCCACAGGGCCCAAGGACGGCCCCAGAGGGGCCCCAAGACGGCCCAAGAAGGCCCCAAGACGGCCCAAGAGGGCCCCAAGACGGCCCCGGAGCCCCAAGAGGCCCAAAGAGGGCCCCCTAGAGGCTCCCAAGAGGGCCGCCAGAGGCCCCGCAGAGCCCCAAGACGGCCAAAGGCTTCCAAGACGCCCCAAGACGGCCCAAAAGAGCCCCAAGACGGCCCAAAATTGGCCCTCAAGGGCTTCACAAGAGATCCACACGGGCCCCCAGAAGACCCCGACGAGGCCCAAGAGACGCTCAAGAACACCATTGTCCCATCAGCGAGCGGCGACGTAACGAGCTCTTGATACCAAGCCTCCCCAGAGCGTGGTGACGTAAAGAGCTCATCACACCAAGGCTCCCAAGAGCGAGCGGCAACGTAACAGTCTCTGAACCCCATGGCTCCCAACGCAGAGCGGCGACGTAACAAGCTCTTCACACCAAGGCTCCCAAGAGCGGAGGGTGCCATGAGCCCTCTCGAGCAAGTTCCTGAGGTGCTTTTTTCGTTTCCGTGCCGGCCCAGGCGAGGTCCGAGCAATGTACGTTGAGTTGGGCGTTTGCGCTTCCCTAGGGGGAGCGCAGAGGGGGGGGGATGCGCAGAATTCTCCAATGAATGGCCAGCCCCCCCCAATGAGCCCCCCCCCAATGGCCGCTGGGGGGCCGTTTTCTCTGTATTTGTTCGAGTGGAGCGGCTCCCAGGCGCCTTCCACGGCTCAAGGGCCCCAAGGGCCCAAGAGGGCACCAAAACGGCTCAAGGGCCCCAAGACGGCCCAAGAGGGCACCAACACGGCCCCAAGAGAGCTCCGGATGGCCTCCAGACGGGCCAAGAGAGCCTCGAGATGGCTCCGCAGGCCTTCCAGAGGGCCCCCGAGAGGGACCCCAGGGGCAGAAAATTTGCAATTGTTTTTGCAGGTTTTTAGTGTTCTTGTTTTTTCTGACCCAGAACGGTCCAAAACGGCCCAAGAGGTTCCAAAGATCGACCCAGGACGGCGAAAGAGACCCCCGAAAGGGACCGAAAACGGTCCAAGAGGGCTTCAAGACGGCCCAGGAAGCACCCGAAAATCCCCGAACACGGTCCAAGAGGGCCCCAGAAGGGCCCAAAAGGGCCCCAAGACTGGCCATGAGGGCCCCAAGACGGCCCCAAGAGAGCCCCAAGAGGGCCAAAAGAGGTTCCCAGAAGGGCCCCCCAGAGGCCCCCAGGAGAGCACCCAGACGGCCAAAGGCCTCCAAGACGCCCCAAGACGACCCAAAAGGGCCCCAAGACGGCCCACCATTGCCCCAAAAGGGGCCCCCAAAGGGCTCCAAAAGGGATACACGAAGACCCCGACGAAGCCCAAGAGACGCTCAAGAACACCATGGCTCCCATCAGCGAGCGGCGACATAACAAGCTCTTGACCCAAGACGGCCCATAGAGGCTCCCACGATGCCCCCAAGACGCCCTAAGACGGCCCAAAAGAGCCCCAAGACGGCTCAACATTGCCTCAAAAGGACTCCCAAAGGGGTCCAACAGGGCCCCCAGAAAACCCCGACGAGGCCCAAGAGACGCTCAAGAACACCATGGCTCCCATGAGCGAGCGGTGACGTAACAAGCTCTTGGTACCAAGGCCCCTTAGCGCGCGGTGACGGAAAGAGCTCGTTACACCAAGGCTCCCAAGAGCGATCGGCAACGTAAAAGTCTTTGACCCCAGGGCTCCCAACGGAGAGCGGCGACGTAACAAGCTCTTCACACCAAGGCTCCCTAGAGCGAAGGGTGCCATGAGCCATCTCAGGCCAGTTCCTGAGGCGCTTTTTCCGTTTCCGCGCCGGCCCAGGTAACGGAAAGAGCGAGGTACGAGTGATGACGTTGTGTTTGGGCGAAGCCCTCTAGGGAGGGGTCCAGGGGAGGGTGGAGGGGCGGGTGGATGGTGTCTAATTGCCGTTTTCGGGTTTCCCATATGGTTTTTCTATGTTTTTCGGGTTCTCCAAAACCGCCCAGAAGAGCCCAAGACCGCCCAACACAGCCCCAAGACGTCCCAAGAGGCCTGGAAGACGCCGGAAGCGGCGCCCAAGAGGCGTCCCAAGAGGGCCCCTAGAGGCCAAATCATTGATTTTCCGTCGGAAAACGTATATGTTTAGCATACACGGTTTTTCGGCGTTCACGGCGTTGACAACAGCCCAAGAGGCCCCCAAGACCGCCCCAAGACGGCCCAAGAGGCCCCCAAAACGGCCCAAGAGGGCCCCAAGACGGCCCCAGAGACGCCCAAGACGGCCCAAGAGGGCCCCAGGACGGCCCCAAGAGGGGGACCA